GGGCAAATATACCTCCATATTTAAGGTGTGGTTACAGTTTACGAAGTTGATTAGCTATATTGCGGAGGCAAAAGCGACTGAGAATGGACATTAGGTATAAGAGAGTATTTGGTAGTTTAGTAGTTGAGTTATTCGGCAAACGGTGCAACGAAAGAGGAAGTAGTTGAGAGGGAATAGGTAAAATGGAATACATTTTGCCGAAGAAAGGTTTCGGAATCCGGGTTTAATACTTTAACAACTAAAGTAAAAACATCCAACTAGTCATTAAAACTAAGGCCCAGAAAGAAAACTTTGCGGAAAAGTTTATCAACCAGTTAACTATTTCACCTTTACAAATGTTCAGACCTTGCCAGTTGGTCACTCATTTCATCGGTGTTTGTATAGGCCGGTCGGATTTAGTCTCTTTCACTATGCCGAACAATGAGCAAACAAGTTAGGACAAGTTAGCATTTTGTCACTTTTAACTCCAGGTGAAGGCATGGGTGGCTGCTAGCTATGTTTTGTTTCGGTACATTACAATGCACTGCCCTCTCATTAATAACGTACAGCTGCTGCACAGCACTTTTGCGGAAAATACCAACGCACTGTGACAACTTGGACAATAAAAATAATCTCTAGAATCTACATTTAGTATTAATTATGGAGAAACTTTGTATGAGGCAGCCTCAATAATTTCTTTTAAGGCGCTCCTAATGACACACCTCCTGATAAAGACTAGCCTGTTAGGCAAATGTATTGTTTAGTTACTTTATTATTATATGTTTAACGTACTGAAGAGACAAACGAAAGAAATCGTTCTATTGCTCGTAAATTATTTCCTTCTAAGCCTCAGAACCAACTTAGTTAAAGAAGTACTTGGCCAAAAATGTGTTTGGTCGGCTATACATTATCCCTTTAACCTTCATTGGTCTTGTACATCAAAGCTGCTTAATACAATTAACGATACATACTTTGGCTCACGGTACAGTTTGTCAATGTAGCATAATTTTTTACCCCATTAATTTGCTTTTAGCATATACTGAGTAAGTATTTCTAAGACATCAGTAACTGTTGAATAAAGAGAACGTATACTTCTGAGCAAAATTCTTCCTAAAGTTGGTTTAATTTTCTCCCTAGCTTACCTTCTCCATTTCTGATATTGAGGAATGGCATATGAGCAACAAACTTCTCCAAATGTGATGAATTATCACGCTCATCCTGATTTCAAGATGACTTTTGACAATGGAAACAGTGAATAAATTTTAAAGAATTTTTTCCTTTTTAAACTTTTAACCTATTCCTCCTTCAATTAAATGTGTAAATTAATAGAATATACTTAATTTGAAAAAGGAAAAAGATGGGTTTTGAACCATCCATTATTACGTGAATAGGAGCCCAGGCTAAATGAGAACATAGATCGAGAAGCAATCCCATGTTAACGTCATTGGGATTGTGGGCTCTAATCATTTAATTAAGATAAATGCAATTATCACTCCTGCAGTACTTTTAACATTATTGGATGAGTTGATTATTTGTAAAGAGCAGAAACAACTCAATTTCACTTTATTTGTGGAACTGGCTCTGTATTTCTATGATAGATAATAGTAATTTCAGCTCCACTAGCTTTCCAGAATAAATCGGTTAATTCAGATTTTAGTCGAGGTGGGCTCTGTCTCATCCCGGACAGATGGCAGTTTTGGTCTCGACTATCCTCCATTGACAACTGAAGCTGGGTTTGAATAGTGGAAAGAAAAGGATGGTACAAAGGCAAATAAGACGATAATTTCAACATTGTTGAACAGAATAAACATGATTTTCAAACATTTTTTCTAATTTACTAAAAAACAAACTAGCTTTGACTGGTGACTTGACCCTCATTGTGAGTAAAATTGTGTCGTCAAATAATTCGTAGGTAGACCTCACCCTGCTCTGATGATGCTTTTCGATTGGCAGAAAAAACAAAGCTTAGAACTTTGTCCTCATAAGTGAAGGTAGATGTCTCAAATATTGCATCAAGTATAGCTTTTCAGTTGAGCCAAACGACAACTGGTCAAGATAAATCAGTTGCGGTCTTGTGATGAGAATGGGATAAGAATCTTTTCATAGTAGACTTTCATTCAGAATGGAAGTGAAATCAGAAATAACAATTGAAGCTATTAATCGAGAAACAACTTGTCTATGCTTTAGAGTAATTTTTCGTTTTAAAGCTACCAAAAGGTATACCAGGTCAGGCTGTTCTTTTACTAGAACAAATTTCATTGTCATTTCTTGAATCACCCTATGGGTGGCTAAATTGCTATTAAATAATAAAGGATAGACTCGGAAATAAATGAAAGAATATCTTGACTTGAACTTGTTTTTTTTAATTTATCGTGTTGCCAAGGCGATCTCGATGAGCCCAAGATCCTCTACTATAGTAATTATGCTAGTTACCAGCGTTTGACCGCAAATTTGGTACAGTCACAGACGCTTCGCCGGATTCGAAGTCAGCAACGTCAGTGACTTTTGTCATTATCAGCACAAAGCTACAACTCGTCAAAAGGACTAATGAAGTCAATCATTTGGCCAACTATCTGCCAATTGGGACTGCTGTCACTCGTCTTTCTGTCCTTGTACAGCTACCTACTCCTTATAATCGTATCTCAAGTTGTCGATAGCACAAATTCTAATTTCTATAGAGTAGACCAATATGAGCAAGTTATATATTGTGATAGTAAAAGAACGCATTTTTGAGGGTAGAGGTAGGGTATGCAGATGTATCCGATGTGGTAATGAGTTGTAGCTTGGTGCTGAAAATGGCAAGACTCAATGAAGATGCCGGAAACTCAAACGCTGAAAATTCGCATCACTTCAATACCAGAAGACTTCGGATAAGGTGCGTCCAACTAGGCTGCCCTGGCAACACGAACATGTTGCGAAAGCAACGTCGCACCACTAATGTACATAGAAATGAGGCTGCGACCAACACAGAGTCTACAATATCAAAGTCTTCATATTTGCGAAAAAGGATCCTGCCTGAAACAGCCTAAGTACCTCTTCGCAGAGCTGTAGAAGAGTATAGAGACCGTGCATATTATTCGCGTCGGAAGTTAGAAGGCCTGATCTAAGGATTATGAGCAGTAGCTAAACCTTGTTGCAAAGGCAGCAGCCACGTTGATAAATGGGTTTTTTCGTTCATAAGAAGAGCTTCGAAACTACATGTGAATCAGTTATAGGATATTTATTTACCCTATTTCGTTTAAGGCAATGAAGGACTGGTAATTCAATTTTCCCGCAATGATAAGAGTAGGGCTGATATGAGTAGGCTAGAATGCAGTTCCGACCTCGCCTAGGTCTTATAAACACCCACAACGGGACTCGAACCATGACAGTGCATCGTGTAAGCTCGACACGTTAATAACTACACTACATTGCCACGAGTTTCCTTGGTTCGCAGGTCATATGTGAATTTCAAGGAATGTCAGGCATTTTCCATATCACATTCTGTGTTGGGATTGTCGATGAAGCAAACTTATATTTGCTATAGCAATCGATGACATTACTTTTTTCATTAGTGATTAGGTTTTCGAGACTAACAGTAAATAAGATATGTGAGTTGTATTCACCTTATTTCGTTTAAGGTAATGAAAGACTGCTATGTGTAGAGCTGAAATTCCCACTGAATTTCACATGGAAATGTCAACTCTACTCATAGCATTGTGGACTGTAGTCGCAGTCGCATTGTAGGAAAATTCAATTATCCTTGCTAAGATCACCTCCAGCAAAATGTGATGATGATGCTCATATCCAAGAATTACTGCTGTTCTTGAAAACTACTCATTTCGAAAATAAGCTCTACTTCAAGACTTACTCATAACCCCGAAAACTACTTATGTCTAAAAGAGATCCGTCGGCTAAAATATGTTCTACACGAATGGCTCCAGGACTTTCAAAACTCATAAACAAGATGGAGGCCCAGAAAACCGAGTTGCCCTACAATATCTCAAGCAAAGTAAAAGAATTCACCCAAGCTTTAATCGCTTAGTCAAGTTGGTCTTTTCATCTCCTCCGACCTGGTGCATACCAGAGTCCCGTGACCAGAGTAACCTAGAGATTTATGAAGCCCAACACGTGTGTCCGACGCGTCACCTTCATCGGTTGTACTTTACGGCTGCATAATAGTCTAGGGTCGTAGGCTCGACAGCGACACTGCTTCAACTCGTCCCACACAGACGCTTGATTCGTCTTCTGATGGCATCAGGCAATCATACCGTCTGACAGTTTTTATCACGTGAACGTTGCCAGCTCATTCCAGCCGAAGGCGTTAAATGGTCATCTGAAACAGGCAATGCATCTGATCACTCAAAGCAATTGTTTTTTTCGACAGACAAGATAATCATATAAATTTTCACTATTCACGCCTGACTTCACAGATGCGTCAATCTACCTTAAACTGTGATTGTGGGCGGAAAATCTGTTCAAAGTGAGATGTACTCCAATTATTACACAACAAATCAGGTTTATGGCAGCTTTTATTCAGAGTTGGAGGAATATCTGCCGACGCTTTCGGCAACGCAGGCCGATCAACATGCAGCTGAGGAGGAGGAAATGGACGTTCAGCTGAGAGATTTCCTGGACAGCATTTTGGCCGAAATCGCCGTCTATACTCGTCTGAGAAAGCTTCAAACCAACTAGACCGGCATCTTCTTCAGATCGAAGCAGATGCGTGAAGTTTACAGACATTCATTCGCTTGAGGGCATTTTTTCCGGCTTCTGGAACCTTTCACTAGTTGTCGAGCAAATCACTTTTAGATAGTCTTCCCATACAAAGTCATTCGTGTGAATATGGCCACCAGACATTCCACTTATCTCTTAATCTCTTACCAATTAGGTCAACCAGTTCGGAGCTCGGGCAAGCGAGCAGACTGCTGCCACTAGAAACGAGTCGTATTTACTTCAGACACAATATGGAAAAGTAAACCACTCGAGCAGCTTGATGAATTGGAGCGAGCTTCCGTTCTGAACAATCAAGTAAACTGTTGCGCATGACAACTGGGCAGACGACAGGTTTTCCGTAAGTATATCCTTTCTCGGTGAGACCAATGGATGAAGGGTTTTTATGGATATATTCATCTGAGAAAATCTACTGTTATGCTTTATGATACAGTCTTGTGTTGCATGATTACAACCACTTGATTTTGCCGTCCAAACTTTGTGTGTAATAATCATAGAGCCCCTGAGACAAATTGAAATGATTTAAACACAAATCTTTAATTATAATTCTGTATTCTCCTTATAACCCAGTAATGCATCACAGATTATCTGGTGTTTAGAAGATTATTTTCTAGATTTTCTGCCATCACTAAGTGAATTAAGCAAAACCTGCAATTTGTGTATGTAATATCTACATTGCTGCCCATTGGATCCAGAGCTTTGTGGGATATTTCCGAACTGTTTAACCACTGACCTGAACTTTTTTAGCCATAGGCTCGATGGATCTTAATGAGTTTGCAAATTTTGTCCAGCTTGGTCAGAAGTACAAGACACAGTGAAATTCTGCTATTCACCCAAGGACCCTCTTCTACCCTACAAAATGATTAAGGAGTAAGTCTTATTCCTGAACCAAAGAGATTTTTATTTGGTGCCAACTGTGATCTAGATTATACGATTTTAGTGACCGGAATTCAATCAGTAATGTATCCCTATCGTTGTTTGCCCTATCAATATGAAGATTGCCTTTATATGCAGACTTTTTGTTTCGGATCAAGATTTGGTAGTTCACTTTTTATTGGTTTCGATACAGGTGCTTTGCGTCCAGATAGGCTTCCAGATTCCACTTTTGGGATGAAAAAATTGTGCTCTCAACATAAGTTGTGGAATAGTACCGATTTATGTGAAGCAAACTCTGATCAATTTGAGATGGCGACTAAATTTGCTTTGAAATATCCTTAAGCTCAGTCTAACCATCACGACTAATATTATCTCATCAGAGGTTGCCTTTTCTTTGCCATGAAAGCCTAAATAGCCAGTTTTTACTTATATTTCCTCCTCTCCTTCTTGTCTGCTTTTAAATTTATTTTATTTTATTTTCGCCTCAGATCTCAAAGATGACTTAGTGCTCAAGCCGTGAATCACGGATAGTGTAACCCTCACTCACACACAGTCGGTGAACTTCTCCTTTCTCTTCGATTAGAATAGCAATTGACCACTTTATGCCAACCTCTACGTCTTCTAGCGGACATACCCTCGTTTCCACCCTTTGCTCTACTACCAGTCGGCTTTGCTAAACTTCTGGGCATACGTTAAGAGGCCATTTTATTTTGTGCATTAACGGCCCCTAAACAAGGCATAAAGATTGTATCGAATGTTGCAAACATTTGGTTGGGGTCCAGCTGTGGTCCCAATGGTAAGATTCGGCTGTCTAGGCATAGCCGGATTACATCTCGTCTCTCGTTCACATCTTCCCGGTGTCGATGGAGGAGGGGATTGAAGAGCCGAAAACATAATCTGGTCTGCGAGTGAATTCGCCGAAGGGAGATTGACAAAATGAATATGGCAGCAAGGCCTTTATGGCAGAGATCCGCAACACCAGTTTGGCTCGAGCCCCAGCAACGAGGTATTCCTTAAAGTAATTGTAGGTTTGCATGTATTTAGACTTTCGGATCTGTGGACGTCGATCGGATTCGTGTCTCCAACACGACAACAGCGGGAGTCAAGGAGGACATTTTGGCGGTCCGCCGTGTCGGCAGCTTCACGGAGCACGAGACGAACCACAAAATTATAGAACCACTTGAAATGCCCTGCCTTGTAGACTGAGATATCCGATCATTCGAAACTACTTCTCTTCCCTTTCTAGAAGAATGGTAAGATTCATGGACGAGAGTTTATGAATGCCATCTGAAATGGAATCTTTGACTTGAATTGTCATTTCCAAGTCGTTAGGTCCTACTTAAGGCAGGCGGAGCTATCTCCAAAGAGGATGGCATAAAAAATATTTCACACATGCCATTGATACTACCGAGTTTGGCAAATCGCCATGCAGAATTCCCAATCTCTTAAGAGTCATTTTTGCCTAAATCACGCGGATTTCCAATTGACTCTTGTATTGTCCCTAAATTTGGTCTAAATATGGATAGCATTTAGTAACAATTTTGATAGAGTTCTGGCAAAACCTGGCTGGAGAACGGATTCTTCCTAGAGAAGGCATTCTGCTTGAGGAACGAGGTTAGGCTATTTGTGAGATGCCAAAGTTGTGGTTAAAATCGGCTAATTCCTAGAATTATCTACAGACGCCCTAGAAACGACTAAACTACTTCAAAACTCCACAATGTTCAGTCATCAGTTCATGAATGCCATCTGAAATAAAAACCAACTCTTAGGTCTTCCTCCCTTTGCCTTGATTTGTCATTTCCAAGTCGCTGGGTCCTACTTAAGGCAGGTGGAGCTATCTCCGAGAGGATGGCATAAAAAATCTTTCACACATGCCAATGACACTACCGAGTTTGGCAAATCGCCATACAGATTTCCAAATCTTTTAAGAGCCAATTTTGGTTAAATCACGCGGATTTCCAATTGGTTCTTGTATTGTCCCTAAATTTGGTCTAAATATGGACCACATTCAGTTGCAATTTTGATAGTTCTGGCAAAACCTGGCTGGAGAACGGATCCTTCCTAGAGAAGGCATTCTGCTTGAGGAACTAGGTTAGGCTTTTTGTGAGATGCCAAAGTTGTGATTAAAATCGGCTAATTTCTAGAATTATCTACAGACGCCCTAGAAACGACTAAACCACTT